GTAAATGGTACAGATCACAACTCAGGGATCTGAGACTACTAAAATGTAAATAGACTCTCTCAGAGCCCAGAGATGCACTGCCAGGTGAACCAGGACCCACTAGAGTACAGGACAGGATAGTCATGGGGCACTTCAACTCTCTGTTTACATATTGAAAGGAGACAGAACTGCACTTTTGCCCTCACATAATTTCTCTTTCAGCCTATTCTTTTATGAATTATATGATTAGTTTTGTGCCTATTATAATTATGCAGTATTTACTTCACAGGAGAAAAAGAATTGTAAAACAAAGGGCATATGACCCACAGTTTTAAGTACTAACTCCCTATCTCAAATAAAATGGATATCTCAAGACCTGAAAGTCAGACCTGACTACCACTAACTGAAAAAAGAGCCAGTTTTATATTGAAAGATTACAGGACAAGAACTTACAAGAAATGGCACACTGGATCAAGCCAATGGCTCACATAATCAGCAGAGTATTTGGTCTATGATGGTGGCTCCCAAGGCAGCTTTGTTAATGAGCATGATAGGTCTTCATAATGCCAATTTTATGTTGGAATGTCCTTAGCATCAGATCTTTCATATCATGTACTCTTCTAACTGTCCCTCCTTTATTAAATAAAACTGTTCAATTAACTTGTAATGCCATCAATTTTCTGAAATAGAAAGGGATTTATGAAGGAAATTTGATTGATATTAAACTCGATGCATAACTGGGTATAAACTGCACTTAAAAATAATCATGTACTCATTCTGAATGTGTGTTCCACTGCTCAATACCTGTTCTTGAAGAGACAATAACTATTTGTCAAACTCTTAATAAATGTCAACAATGAGCTGGGCATGGTGGCATATGCCCATAATCTCAGGAGGCTAAGGTAGGAAGATGGCAAGTTCAAAGCCAGCCTCAGCAACTTATCAAGGCCCTATCTCAAAATAAAAAATAAAAAGGGCTGGAGATGTGGCTCAGTGGTTAAATGCCACTGGGTTCAATCCTCAGTACAAAAAACAAACAAAAAGACTCAAGAATTTTAGAAGATGAATTTTATCATTTGGTAGGATGATATCAGTGATCAAAATAACATATTCTGTTATCTTCTAGCCTATCCTATTTTCTGTATTACTTCTTTATTTTATTTATTTATATGCGGTGCTGAGAATCAAACCCAGTGCCTCACACATGCTAGGCAAGCACTCTACCACTGAACCACAACCCCAGCTGTATATTACTTTTTTAAAATAAAATTTGTCATGGTTATCAAGTTTTTTAATTGATTTTTTTAAAAAAATAAATGACAGCGGAATGCATTACAATTCTTATTACACATATACAGTACAATTTTTCATATTTCTGGTTGTATATAAAGTATGTTGACACCAATTTGTGTCTTCATACATGTACTTTGGATAATTATGTCCATCACATTCCACCATCCTTGCTAACTCCTTGCCCCCTCCGTTTCCTTCCCACCATGGTTATCAAGTTAATAAATAGAAAAGCTTATATAGATTTTTTTTTTGTTAAAATCTCTGCCAATTATTTTGAAAAAGTTAATCACTTTGGCTGATAATTTTAAAATGATCAAATTTTTTCAGAGCCCTCTGTACTTTTTAAGAGCAAGGCATGCACAAATACATGAACACACACACATATGACCTTATTTTACTTTATAACTACCTTATGTGGTACACAGAATCTAGTGTCAAGTTTCCATTTTGCAAATATAAGAACAGAGGTTAAGTGATGCACAGAGGTTAAGTGATTTCTCAAAGTCAAGCAGCTGAGGAATGATAGGGTCAGATGATAGGGATTTTCTCTCTCTAATCAGTACAATAATTCTTAGATTTTGTGGTCAAGTAGAATTTCAAAAAGTATCTGAAGAACCCAAAATAGGGTTGCAAACTTAGTTATTTTTCAGGTAGTGTGTGTGTGTGTGTGTGTGTGTGTGTGTGTGTATGTAAAAAACTTCTACCTACTATTGCCATCATGTCATAAAACTGTCATTTTTTTATTATCTACAATAGGAAAAACATAATTCTAGAAAAAAAGTGTTATTCTTAAACTAATAAAATATGCTGTATGGGGAAGTCACTACATTCTAGTTCTTTTCTCATTTGCTGTGGATTAATGAAGATCCACAGTCTAGAACTAGTTCTCAGACAGCTTACAATACCTATAAACTATTTGCCTTTTGTGCTGTATCCATAGTCATATGAGCTCTTCCATGTCTTTTTCTTCTTGTATTTCATTGTCTTTAAGAAAGGTATCAATAAGTGTTAAAAGTTTTCCTTTTGAGGGTCGGGGGTGTTGCTCAGTGGTAGAGTGCTTATTTAACATGAATGATGCCCTGGGTTTGATCCCCAGCCCAAAACATTAAAAGAAAAAAAAAAAAAGAAAATAAATTAAAAAAGAAGGAAAAAACTTTTTCTTTTGATGAGATTGGGTGTGTACGGCCACAGACAAGCTTTTCCTTTTGAAAGATGCTGCTCTGTACTCTTACTGTAAGAAAGTGATGAGTATCATAAATTTACACATAATCAAAACAGAGCTGTAGCTTGACTAAGCGTGACGAAGGAGAGGGCTGGCAGCAGGTAGTGTGGATGCTACGTGGTACTCCACACAATGCATGGCTTCCACGTTATTTTAATTTAAAAAAAAAATAGGGAAAGTACTTTATCCAAGTCTTCTCACTACTCACTCCACTTTCAAATCTATCCAAGGAAATGAATTAACACAGTGACTCCTATCCAGGCAGAGGCTGTGCCGCATCTGTCCTTACCTCCAAAAGGTCTGCTTCTTACTTCATTCCCAGATTTGGTTTATATTCTACCCCCAATTCCCAAGCCCTATAACAAATAAACTTCTAATCTTATAAAACCTTAAAGTTAATCTACCATTGTACTCTACAAACTGTTGTATTCATACTCTACAAGGAATAATTATCAAATCCCATCCAATCTTACATCTATGATAAATGTGTGGTCTTTTGGTATTTGTAGTCTATGATGACTTCCTTCAGCTTTGGGAAGGAACTGCATGAATAGTATAGTGAAAGAGAAAAAGGATACTCAACTATGTATCCAACCAACCAAATCATGCCCTGTGATCAGTGTCACAACAAGACTACTTCCAGTCCCAAACCCAAACCAGTTCCATGGGGAAAGCAGCTCATCAATGTATGTTTTCGTCAAGGAAGATCCCCTTACTGATTATAATGTTCAACAGAGGATAGTCAAAGAAGTAGACTTTTTCCCCAATACATTAATATATATAATTTTACTCATAACACGAAATTTATTTACATGGGATAATAACTGTACATCACCAAAAGATGGCACAGTAATAATAACATATTTATATATGCATTTTATGACATATAAAACATTTTATGACATATAAAACACTTTATCAAATACCATTATTTCTTAGGAATATTATGAGATGAGTGAGCTGGGGTTGTGGCTCAGTGGCAGAGCACTTGCCTAGCATGTGTGAGGCACTGGGTTCGAGTCTCAGCACCACATATAAATAAACAAATAAATAAAATAAAGGTCCATCAACTAATAAAAATATTTTTAAAAAAGAGAATATTATGAGATGAGCAATGATATTCACATTTCATTGAGAAACTGAGGCTCAGAAAGGTTATGTGATTTGCTCAGGGTCACACAAGCAAGAGAGCTAGAACCTAAGCCTTATCCTTTGACCTCATGTGCAGGCTCTTTCCATTATTTACATCCTTCCCAAGAAGAGTCATCACTAAAGGTGAGCCCCCAAACCAAAAGAACACACAAAGACTGGCTTTTATTCCAGAGCTGTCAATAAGGACTGCAAGGACAGCCCCTACTATTAAGTATCTGGGGGAAGTGTGGGTTTCTTCAGTTTTTCTCACCATTAATATGATGCCAGTGCTATTTGTGTACTTCCTGTTCAGTGTCCTAGGATTCATCACATAAACCAACCAATCTGGCTAAGAGACCCATGAACCCAGGGCAAGAAAAACAATGGTCATTCATAAAAGAAATTATTTGAAATCACTTTCATCATACATGTTCTTCCAACATAAACATTTTGGCAACACCAAATTTTTAAATAATTTACAGAAATATTTACGATCACATATTTTTGTGATTTATATGCTGGCAAGAGCTATTGAAAATATACAAAATAGCTTATTATACAGTCTATCGTTCACAAAATAAAATAAAAAAGGGTAGCCAAATAATAAGAAACCCATAATCACTAAGGTGTTCATGGATATTTATTTACCATGTAAAAATACTCATTGCATGAAACATGCATAATTAAAAAACTTGTCTATTTTAAATAAACTAGTCTTAGAAATCAAATTAGGACTATGATTTCTGAAATTAATAATTACTGTTGATTGAAACCAAAAGTTTAAACAGTATTAACTAATTATAATAAGATTATCATGAACATCAGCCTTGCTGCTTACTATAAATGTTTTCTTTCATATCTGATTATAGGCTCTGTTTGTGATTAAAAAAAAAAAAAATAGGATCATTAGGAAGCATTTCCAATACCAGGAAAAATAAGCAAAGTAAACTAGGTATCATTATTTCTTTGTCCCAAGTTCACACCATTTAGATTGATTAAAATGTTAATTTTTACATATGTGAATAAAACGTAAAGGAGTAGACAACTGGAGATTGCACGGTGTGCTAGCAATCATTGCGGGTGGGTAAACTGACAACATGTAACTGCATATTAAGACAAATGTAGAATTTAGACAAAGTATTCCATCTCTTTTCAGATGTATACTTTTAAACCTCAGGAACTGTTTTCAGTAGATGTCATGCCTTTTAACTTGAAAAAAGATAAGCGCAAATAAGCTCCCAATTGTCTCCCCAATATGTAAACCACATCTCGGGCTGCTGTCTCTGCTTCTCCTTTGAAGTTTCCCTGAAATGTCATGTGTTGTGAAGACTGCTGTGCATAAGCAAGACAATTTGCTCACTCTCAGAATTCTTACCGGTTTCCACTGCTATTTGGTACCCAGCCTCTAGTCTCCGTGATGACCTTTCCAGCCTCTCTGTGTTATCGAGCAGATGTGCCCTCTGAAAAAGAAAAAGGGGGAAAAATCAGACGGCCGTCTACAATGTTCTTTTTTTGCCTTTTAAAAAAATAATGCTTTTGTATGCCCTAACATTTGCAGGGGGGGGGGCAGTGTGGGAATTGTCACAATCTATTATAGTTAATTTTTGGTAAGTCTTTCATTATAGGAACCACGACAATGGACAAATTTCCAATCAGTCATATATGGACCATCCACTTATTTTGTTTAAAAAGGAGACTCATGTTGAAAGTGGCCACAATGAATCTCATTCCAAAACACTGAGGAATGTTATGAAGACTAGAGTCAACAGGATCTTTTCTGTTTCATCAGAGATGAGACACTTGCACAGATCTATGATCCCAATTTGTTTATTTTTTAATAAAATGCATCATTTCAAAAACCCATTTATTCCTTTGATTCCTGCAGACAGTAATTTTTAAGCAAGAACTTTATTTTTAAAGGACTGCTCCTCAATTTTGGATGTGTAGCAAGATGCATATAGAACAACATATGCTACTAAAACAGAATACTAAACAGCACTTCTAGTTTGAAGACAACTTGGGGCACCCACCAAGAAACAAGAGACACATGTTTCTCCATTGCACACATGTATAAAACTGTGGGTTTATTCCCAAATATATGGCACTAGATTGAAGGTGAACTTTTCATATAGAGTGCTTTAGACTCTGAACTAAAATGACAATAATTACATGCACCTCTTTTATTTATGATAGGGAAACCAGGAAATTTCTCCCAAATTCTCAGCTTCTAAACTTTCTTTCTACGTTGAAACTGTTATTTCCTTTTTATTTTTTTTAACCATACACTAGATCTATTCAGATTGCCAAAACAGATTTATAAGCTAATGATGGCTGTGAATGAATGAGAATATATACAAGGGACATCAACATACATATGTCTAGACACTTAAGAAATATATGAATATATACCTGTGTATTTGTGTGTGTGTGTTCATTTATACATGTATTTGTATAAATTAGTACTTTCCCCCTCAAATCAGTTTTAGTGTCTGGTCAAAAAGAAAGCAAAAAAATGCAATCACAACTACAACTTTGTGTTGACAGATGTCACTTAAAATCGAAGAAATGCTTTCTAATAATAATAAAAAAGGAGGTGCCACACACATTATCTGAGTGGCTGTCGAGCGAAATGATCTACCTTGCTCTAATGAGCCCCCATGGATCTTGGAGATGCAAGCTGTATTGACATGCACACTTAAGCTAATACACCTAGACCAGTGCCTCCAAGCTCTAGCAGCCAGGGATGCTGACAGAATATCTCGCTTCCATCTTCAAAGAAAGGAAGTGATTAGTATGTTATCATTACCATTCAAAACGTGATTTCCTTATTCCCTCCCGGCATAGGTGACACATCTGAGATGCGGCCAGACGTTAGAGGCAGCTAAAGCCACATCAAAGCTTTCCTTGAAATTTTTTTTGGGGGAAGGGGGGTGGAGAGAATCATTAAAACAATGCATTTAGAACAGACAGATAGGACCTGATGTGAAGGTCAGGAAGCTGCAATAGCAGTCTATAATAATTAATAGAGTCATCTAATATACAGTGCAGAAATTAAGAGAAATATTGCCCCCTCCCACTGCCAAAAAAAAAAAAAAAGCTAAACTAAATAAATAAAATGGAGGATAGAAGGAAAGCTTCTTACATCATGAAATAACAAGTCACCAAAGGCTGTAATTGAGAAAAAGAAGAGCAAGGGAGTTCTATGTGTTTGGCAGTGACGACTATTTTTAAACAAAATTAAACACTTCCAAAGCTTGTTAAAAATAGCTTTATAACTCCTAATTCTCCCTACATGCAGGTTCTGGGAGTAAGGATTGCTCTTCTCTCCTCTGAATATTGTTTTCTACCTTAACAAAGGATTTAACTTCAAACTGGTGATTCTCTAAAAAAGGTATTAATCAGATTTGTGAAAGCAGATATAAGGTTGAATTTTAATCCAGACTAAGAAAAGAGGAACTTTTTTTGTTCATTTTCAAATTAGATGAAATCCTAAATTAAGAGAAAACACACAGCTACTATAGATTAAAAAACTATAGGTCAATACTGGAAATAGACATTCTTACTTATACGCTAATATATAATGTAGGAAATAAAGCATTTAAATGTAGAATGTGTTTAGGATTCTATATCCATCCTGGGAGCAGAATTTCTCAAAGAACTTTAAGAAATGTATATTTCCAAATAATGGGAGTAACTCTTCTTGGGGAGGGTTCAATTTTATCAGAGTAAATCTGTACTCAGAGGACTATCAGTTTACCAGCTGCTTTCCTGCAGGATCTCACTTGGAGTTTTGGAATCTCTTCACTTAAGTCAAACTAAAACCAAGTTCTTATAACAGCTGTGCTATTTACATTGTTCCCTTAGTTGTACATTGCCCTGGTCGCTGTAAATGAAAGGAAATACACTACAGTGGCAGCTGATGCTTTCAACTTGCCCCCACACTCCATCCCAAACTCATTCTCTCACCCACTTCTTAGCCCTTTTCAAAGCAGGTAAGTGAAGCTGTGCAGGAGCTTCAGACGGAGCTCAACTTGTGTGAGGAGCTGCGCAAAGTGGAGAGCTGGAGAACGCAGGATTCAAATAGCTCGGCACAGCCAACGCCAGATCAGCTCCCTCTATGCTACAGCCCTGCCTCCAAGCATGCCACGTTCCCAGAAAGAAGCCCAAAAAGAGCATCACAAGGAAGGGATAGGGCATACTTTGCTTCCAAACACAACAAAACATCATATTTTGTAGCAGATGAGTGCCTGTCTTCTTAGCATAGGTGCAAGTAAGAAATCGGGATAACATTCACTGTACTATTAGAATCCCGACTGGGAGACAATCACTTCTGAGCAAACCATATGCCAATTTAGTGTCATCACCATAGTCTAAGTCTATAAATGTCAGTGCTACATCCATATCAAAGAATCTGTAGAATAATATTTCAGAGTATATTATGCTATTACTTGAACAATCTAATTCTTCTGATTATAATTTTATTATAGAATACAGTTTTTCAAACATGAACTCTATACCATGGCTGATGAAACTGCTGCTGCAGGGACAACAAAAGAAGCCACTAACAATAATATATTTTAAGAGAAATGCAGACTTGATGTTTTTAGCTTTAGGAATTAAGAACTCCAAATACACAGCATTCGAGCTTAACAGAAGTAAATCGTCTCTCAAAAATGCTGCTTGTAATAAGACACAAGATTTTATTAATCATATTCATTGCTTAAATTTGGGGGCAAGAGCTTTGTGTAGTTTCTTCATATGGAGGTTTTCAAGTCTATTGGTAGTTCTGTCATCATTTGAAAATTCAGATTCTTTACTTAATCATGAGAATATGCAAATATATACAAATAGATATGCTATCTTGCAGGAAAATAATAATCTTCTACATAATAGTTAATTATATTCCTTTGCTAGATAATCTCCTTTCTTGTAGAAAAAATTAAAAAAAAGCAAGAAAGTTGGTGAGTGTGAGGGTGTATTTTGGGGCATATTTTCCCCCTTCAGTTTATATATCATCATTACTTTTACTAAGAAAGGACAATATTAAGGCAATTTAAATCAGAAGAGCTGTTGAAAACCAGTATCTACAAAATTCCAAGTTAATGTTTGCATCACCCAGAGAATGATGATCTACAAATATAAAGAATTTCTGGGAAAACCTCAATCAATACAGTCAATCTAAACTTGAAAATAATTCAAAGTACACTGATTATTATAAGGAATTAGGCAATTTCGAAATGGCAAAATGGTCCATTATTTTATGTCTTGATACAAAAATAACAAAATTCAATCTAATTAAATAAAAAAATATAACTACCTTTGAAAAAGAATACCAGAGCATATTTGATATGTTTGGCATAACTGAAAAACAAAAACACCAAGAAATAAACAGAATCATTCAGCATTCCTCATTGATATAAGGATAAAATTATTAACATTGCTGCAAATATCTGCTAGTCCACAAAATAATTTGGGGCTGCATTATGAAACCAACTTACAGAAAAATGAGAACTCATTTAGGTACTATTTCCTATAAAAAGGAAAGTGTTTAACAATGACGTGAGCTCTGACTAGTCTTAGGTATCTATGTATACGGACAAGTAGGGCATTTATAACATGTGTGTTTCCCCAAAAGGATAATAGATTCATGGTGTCTTATTTTGAACTTAAGAATTTTGGGTGAGGGAAAGAGATTATGTAAGAACAAAGTTTCAGTAAAGTAAATTAGAATATCAGGAAAAAAAATAAATCATATTAACTTCTCTGAGAAGTTAATAAATAAAGCAAACTTGAAGTTGGAGCCTAAAATAAAATTATACTTGGTGCAAATATATTCCTTTATTATTCTTCCTTTTTTTGGCCTTTAAAATATTAACTTTTCCCCAATGTCAACAATGATTTTTGTAATAAGCACGATTAGGATATAGTAGATTTTTAGAAGATAGTTAGAAGAGAAGATTTTTGGACAACAAAATCAATAGTGTTGCTATGTATAGATTGCCCAAGAAAAATGAATACAAAGATCTACTTCAGATTTAGAAAATCAATTTTATAAGGAAAAGTAGAATTTAAGAAAAAAAAAGGGAAGCTAGAAAGTACTTACCTCTTCACGTAATTTTATCAACTGCAACATGAATGCACAAAAAAAAGATAAAAAGGAAAGAAATGGCAGGAAAGAAAGATCAGTTGTGTGACAGGGTACAGAATTAACATTGACAATTTATCTGTTTACATGTTTAGCATTTAAAAATCACAGACAAACACATTAAAAGAACCTAAACATAGACTACATGCAGAGTTTTTTGAACGAATAAAGATCACTTTCTCACACTGTCACATTAAACAAAGAGAATAGTGTGAAATTCTCTTTTAAAGCACATCTAAGACACCATCATGAAATAAAGGGGAACGACTTCATAGAAGTCTATATTATAAAGAAAGAAAACAAGTTTACTGTTCC